GTAAATTTTCTTATTTATGTTCTTGCTTCAATAATGCTTCTTACAGGGTCAAACAATCAAATAAAAGAAAGGAGAGGCCTCAGTCGAAAAAGGCGTGGATTCCAAAAAAGCCAACTCCAAAACCAAGGAAGACGAAGCAATTTTTCCTTCCCACGATTACATCTCATGTACCTGAAATAAAGACAATCAATGGAGTTATAAAGAAACATTGGAATCAAAAGTCCCTAGGAAAGAAGAAGAGAGTTCTGAAACCTCAAACTGGTTGTTCGACTTTAGATCATAAATCTTCAGAAGAAGTGAGGTATGTTCGAACACCCATTTTCAAATGGGTTCCAAAGTGCTTTTGATAAATATGATAAGATTAAGTGACTCTAAAATTCTCAAAGATTATATTTTGATGTCTCTTATTAAGCAAAAGGCATGAAAATGTATGTCTATTTTTTGTTTTTGTTAATTTTAGTTAGATTTAATTCGTTTAATATGTTTATTTTCTTTTTATAGTTATACTTTAAAACTAAATAAATTTGTTTTTCTTTAATCCATTTTATAATCTCGAATTAGTTTTCAAAAGTTTTAATTAATCTTCATTTAAGTTTAATTAAATAAAAAAATTAATTAGTTTCCTTTTATTAAATAATAAAAAATAAAATAAAATGGCTTTTTATGTTTTTAATTAATGTCCTCTTGTGTATTTTCATTAATTTTTGTTAAATTTATTTCGTTTTGATTTTGTATTTTATATTTGTTTTGATATTCTAATTATAAAATTCAAAAATAAGTGTTGTGCACGTCTTCTTAGAAAAATATTCAAGTGTATATTTTCTATCAAACTGATAGAAATATAAAGGGAAGAATGTACTGAAGTATCAATAGAGTTGAACTTACAACTACGGGGAATAAATTTAGCGTTGTGTCTGGTGTTCAAATTATCTATGTACATTAGAATTTATTTACCCCGTAAAGCTCCTAAAAGTTATATTTTTATTGTGTGTTGTAAGTTTCTTGATCTCAGGTACTGATTTGAAATTAAACAAAAGATAGCATGGATTATTGATCATGTGATGTATTTATACAGTTTCAAGTGGGTCTTGGTGATGGTCTACCTAATTTGTCAATACACATCTGGTTTATTATTTGCATATTCATTGCATCACTTTAGAGCAATTGTCGAGAAATGCTATGATGAGCATAACCCAATGGCTTACATCGATTGCATAGTCATCATCATAAGAGACACTTTTCTGGTCCTTAAATGACAAATGGTTATTCATGTCCTTGACCTCCTAGATTGAGGTATAATATTGGTACCACTATAGATTGACGATGAATATATTCCAAGATTTTAACTTTTATCTACAAGTCTTCTAAATATAGAACTTGATGATTCAATGTGCAACACCACACACTGATAAAAGTTCGAAAGTCTATGATGATAGTTAGACTATGTACCGTAGTTTATCACACACACCAATCCATTCTTGCCCTATCATTCTTCTTAAAAGTTTTATGATTCAGTGTCAAATGCCAGGCACTTATGAGAACTTTAAAATTCTGTGCCGATTGGTATATCATATACCGTGATGTATTACATGCACCTACCCAATCTCAACCTTTTTCTTCTAATAGAAGTACTTAATGATTCAGCGTATAACACCATCCGCTGATAAGACCACGCAAAACTGTGTAAATGATCTACTATTGTAACAATACAATAGTGTAATACACCTATCCTATCCTTTAACTTTATTTGATGATTATTTTTATTTCAGGTTGCTTACTGTCTTCTTTAAAAAAAAGCAGTGTTTATTGATGCTGTCAAAAAGGGGGAGAAATGTCTAGTTCTGCAACATTGTTACTTGATCATTCTTTGAATAACAAACACTCTTGAACGAAGAAAGTTATTAATCTCAGGAGGAGTGAAACTCAGATATTATTTATCTAAAGGGGAGGGGGGCAAAATCTAAGGAGGAGCAGACATAAACATTCTACTTCAGATGTAGTTATTCATTAATTATTTCATTATTGATTAGTTTGGTTTTGACATCATCAAATAGGGGAAGATTTGTGGGTCACTCAATTATATATATTTGATGATGCAAAATATATACACTATAGTTATTGTTAGTTGGTTAATCTGAAGATATGTTGATGGAAGTTCATATGGTGAAGACTGAAGAACATCCCCTGATGACTGAAAGACACACTGATAAGGTGATACGTTGATGACACTCGCGGATGGTACTATTTGCTGAAGTTGAAGCTGAAATTGAACCTGTAGTTGAAGTTGATCAGCGTGTCGCCTTGACGCTGATGTTTATGCCCGGATCAGCGAGATTCCCAAAAGTTGATGCACTGATCAGCATCTGATGTGTTGGTGCTGATATATGAATCTGGAGAAGATCTGATCTAATCCATTATTTATATACATGTTCAGTTTATATTTAGGTTATATACAATCCCTTGATTGAAGGGATTCACTAGAATAGATTAGCATATATTCATATATTAGGGTAAAACCCTAATTGTGTCTTTGTGACGACTTTGTGCCATTCGCCTTTGTGACCTTTGTTCTCTTGGTGAGAACACCCTTTTCTTGGTGAAAGATCTCTTTGTGATACTTTTGTGTTCTTTATTGTTCTTTATTGTTTATATTTGATCTACGAGTCTACAAGGAGTTTGGGACTTTTAGATCCTAAGGAAATCAGCTACACCAGTGATTAGTATCAATAGCCCGTGCCCTTTCGTTTAGTGCATCATAGATATTGTGGGGTATTTCCCAGAAGCACCACAGAAAGTGAAGTTCCTAGTAGTAGCAATAGAATCCTTCACCAAATGGGTACATGCAGAACCGTTAGCAACGATAACCGCACAATAATATTATAAGATTCTTTTGAAAGCAAATTATTTGCCGATTTGGGGTACCCCACACACTCATTTCGGATAACGGTACCTAGTTAGCAAATAATCCCTTCCGGAAATGGTGTGAAAACCTTATGATCAATCAGAAATTTACCTATGTGGTGCATCCAGAAGCGAATGGGCAAATTGAGGTCACAAATAGAATGATCATGCATGGCCTTGTGACAACACTAGACGCGACTAAGGGGTGATGGGTGGATGAACTGCTAAGTGTATTATGGGCGTACTGGACCACGAAACGTACTGCAACTAAAGAGACCCCTTTTATATTGGTTTATTGGTCAGAACAGTGCTACCAGTGGAATTGCTTATCCTGACAAACCGAACATCGAATTTCAGTGCGACAAACAATAGTGAAGAGTTACGAGCAAAACTAGACGTATCTATGGAACGGAGGGAAGTACCAACAATACGACAACAACACTATAAACAACAGATAGAAAGCCATTGTAACTAATGAATTAAGGGTAGATCTTTCAAGATACGCAAGTAAGTACTAAGGAATAACGAAGCAACTAGACAAGAGCCGCAAGGGAAGCTAAGACCAGTATGGGAAGGCCCATATAAAATTCAAGAAGCAAATAGGGATGGATCATACATTTTACAAACAATGGAGGGAGATATGGTACCACGGTCCTGGCACGTAAAAACCCTAAGAAAATTATACATCTGAGTAGCCAAGGAAACGAAGGAAATGTAAACCAAATAAGTCGATGAGAGAAGAAGAGCACTTGTGAAAACAATCTATATCTAACACTAAATAAGCATGGGATCAATTTAAAAAATACACTTATTCTTCAAATATCATGTAGCTCGGTCAGGCGATGACATCACATCAATATTGAGTAGTACACTATTACCTAGGCTACCCTTTTAGACAAAGAATACACTTATTCTTCAAATATTATGTATCTTCATCAGCCAACTACATTCACATCAAGGTTGAGTACTACACTCTGACCTAGGCTACCCGCTTAGCCAAAAAATAAAATTATTCTTCAAATATTATGTAGCTCGGTTATGCAACTACATTCACATCAAGGTTGAGTACTACACTTCGACCCAGGCAACCCGCTTAGCCAAAGAATACACGTATTCGCCATATTATTATGTAGCTCGGTGACCGGCCACATTCACATCAAGGTTGAGTACTATACTTCGACCAAGGCACCCACTTAGCCAAATAATACACTTATTCTTCAAATATTATGTAGCTCAGTCAGCTGACTACATTAACATCAAGGTTGAGTGCTACACTCTGACCTAGGCTACCCGCTTAGCCAAATACTACACTGATTCTTCAAATATTATGTAGTTGGGTCAGCCGACTACATTCACGTCAAGGTTGAGTACAAAACTCTGACCTAGGCTACCCGCTTAGCCAAAGAATATACTTATTCTTCAAATATTATGTAGATCAGTTAACAGACTACATTCACAACAAGTTTAAGTACTACACTCCGATCTAGGCTACTCGCTTAGCCAAACAATACACTTATTCTTCAAATATTATGTAGCTCATCCAGCCAACTACCTTTACATCAAGGTTGAGTATTACACTACAATCTACACTATCTGCTTAGCCCAAGAATACACTTATTCTTCAAATAGTATGTAGCTCGGTCAGCCGACTATGTTTACATCAATGTTGAGTATTACACTACAACTTAGACTACCCACTTAGCCAAAGAATACACTTATTCTTCAATTCTTATGTAGCTCGGTCATCCTCTTACACTCAAATCAAAGTTAAGTACTATAATCTGACCTAGGCTATCTGTTTAGCCAAAAGAAAACACTAAAACCATGATAACATTTCACAAAAACCAAATGTGCAAGTTACAGACTTCACATTACTAAAAAGAGTTTTTGACAAAAGAACAACAAAACATATTACATCACCATGTTCATGACTAGAGGTTTGGTTAGGCTCACAAGCAAGGGATAAATCATTTTTGGCAGCAAAATAAAAGCATAACCGAACCCCATCTTAAGAATTAGTGAGATTTGGATGTAAACTGAGCACGAAGCACGTAATTTTCTTGAAGACATGCTTCATAGTCTGATTCCAAGAGTCCCATTTAATTCTCCAACATTGTAACCCTGCCAACAACATCGTGGCCTCGACCATCCAATTCAGCATACATCTCCCCATCTTTAAACAACATTTCCTTGCCTGCAAGCTTCATACCTTTTGTCGCCTGTAAACTAACCTCAACATAAAAATATTTATCTTGAAGACTAAATAACCCATCAAAAAACTTCACTTCCTGTCCAAGAACAGTAAGTATGACATTTCGGCATGAGCTATAATACGACATGCCTTGTTTAGTTCCTCCTTAAACGGAATACAAGAAGAACAACCATCTACATACCTTTAAGAAAATAAGGGGGTGGGGGGGGCAAAGAAATTATTATATACTACATGTCTGAAGCAAAACACAATATATATATATATATATATATATATATATATATGTCAGACATACCAGCCACAGTCGGGGGAGTAAAAAATAAGGGAAAGGGAGATATACAACGAGGACCGCTTGAAACTTCACAGAAAGAGTGCTCGAAATGATGAGGTGTTAAAGGTCGCTTTCGCTTACGACTAAGAGAAGGAGAACTTGTGGAACCAACATCCATGACTCTAGAAAAATCAATTTTCGACGGGATAACCAAAGGAGGGCAAGAAGTTTCCACAAGATGACCAATGGAAAAAGCATCTGATCCGAACCCATGTAACCTGAGAGGTGACCAGGGAACCATAACAGCCCGGCCCATATTCGAAGTGACAACCTCCAACGTAATGGCGTGGGGATGAATATCACTAGAAAAATACGTAGTCAACTGAAAAAAGCATTTACTACCATCTATGTATTACATGAGTAAAGAGAAAATGTACAAAATGGAAAAAACAACATTTATATTAGGAGAATGCATGCAGTTGACTAAACAAGAGGCATCACTAAATGAAGTAAAAGGTATAAATATTTAATAACCTGCATGAAGAACAGCTAGAACTCGTAATTCACGAGGTTCCTAAGATACAACCCTACTTTGTCAGACGGAGCATCAAGAATAGACGATGATAGGGATGGAGGTTCAATACCGAAAATAGAGGACAAATTATACTCGTGCATATACCTATCAAGCATAAAACTGTCAACCTTAAATACCACAGTCGACATGTCACAAGCCATGGTAGCCATGATGGATAAAAAGATAGAGGATAGAAAAATAAAAGCTTCTAACAAGTCAAGGTTTATCCGTTGAATAACTAGAAGGTTCGGTTAAAGCATTAACTAAGCAAATCCAATCAAGATAGAAGATGTGACTTACTGACATCGCAGACATTTAATGCGCACCTGCCGACACCATACGATAGATGTTTCGACAACCAAGGCAAATTCTAGAGTCTGAACAATAAAATAAATTCACACCATTTTTTATGCTTCAGACTGGGGGGCTTAATAGTGTACCCAAGCCAATTATCCAAGTCAACCCAACAATCAGACCACCTCCTCCAGGCCGGGAACCAAAAGGCTGCAATCACATGCCATCATAAACGTACATAGACCTAAATAATTGTAGACATATTCCTGAACTAACAAGGAACAGTCCGGTCATAGGTAAACCTGCGAAACATCACTAATATCACATGGATAAAGGAAGGTATGGGAAATATATCCCAGGTTTCATGCAAAAGAAAGGATCTAGGACATCAAAATAAAAGAGGAAGGACAAAAGGTGTAACCCCTTATTAACCGGATAATGTGGAAGGATCAGACCCAATATTAAACCAAAAAAACTACATAGGCCTATAAATACTCCCATAAGAGTGATAGCATAGAATGTAGAAGGGAGCGATATCACAAGCAAAACTTAAGAAATTTATATAAACGTTGTCTAACTTTGGCATTGAAGAACAATACCGGGGTCAACCCATCGATATGACTTGCTGACCTAGTGTTTGCTTGTCTCAGACAGTGTGACTTGTTGGATGCTTATTAGACGAGGTCCCTAGACGAAGACCTACACATGAACCTGGATTTCACTGTAACAACAATATGCTAAATACATAAAGACTTTTATTTCAATATAAATGGGTGTTATACATAAAATAACAATCAAAAATGCATTTATATGTCTTATATGAAAATGGGTTTATAATGTTATTTTGTAAAAAGAAATAAAATCTTGTGTGTATATCCATGCATATTTGTTAAAATTATGTATTTATGTATTTATATAAAAGACTTGCACAAAATGGTAAAAATAAGGTTTTATATAAAAAGGTTATGGTTTTATATATTTTTTTATACAAAAAGAAGTCCATATAATCATTTTTTATACAAAAAGAAGTCCATATATATTCTCATACGGATTTCTATATAAAAAGAAGTCAAATAATACTCACAAATGTTTTTATATAAAAATGGAAGAACAAAGGTATTTAAATATTTGGTATAATGATGTGTATGTGTGTGTGCGTGTGTGTATATATATACAAGACGAATTCATATGCGTTGCACGTCGCAGATTAAAAATAAATTGTTAGAATATTGAAAAATATATATTTATAATGGTTATGTTATTGACATTACCTTTGACATAATATTTTTACACTATATATATATATATATATATATATATATATATATATATATATATATATATATATATATAATCTCAACTATTTTGAACACTAATATTCATTTACATCAACTCACATCCTCATTAATAGAAATAAATATAATTATCTATTTAGTATTATTTTTAACAATTGTTATGATTGATTAATTTAAATTTTTACTTATGCAATTATTTTCTAATTTCGTTAATGATGTTCATTTAAAATACAATTTGTTTGTAGTCAACGTTATATAATTTATAATTTGATGTTATTATCATTTAAAATTGTTGTTCATTAATTTTAAATCACTTATTATTATTAATAAGTTAAAGAAGACTTTTAAGAAACACTTAATATTATTATTCAAATATGAAACATAGACTAAAGAATAAAGTGATAAAATTGACAATTTGCATTTCAAAAAAGACTTCCATGGATGATATGACATATCCATGATTTTTATAATTTGATTTTATCATTTATAACTATTGTTCGTTAATTTTAAACCACTTATTATTATTATTATTAAAAAAAAGAAAACTTTTAAAAAGCACTTATTATTATACTTAAAATGTTATACATATACTATAATATAAAGTGATAAGATAGATAATTTGCATTTTAAAAGAGACATACATGGATAATATGACATATCCATGATTTTTATTTGATTATTGTTTTGAAGTAACACAAACATACAAACATATATACAATATTTAATTAAATATTATCTATATCACATTCCATAACATATGATCGATAACATGAATCTAATCTAATTTACATTAAAATTTCAAACACAACATATAATGATTGTCTTAAAACAATACTTAAACCAAGAAAAATAAAATAAAATAAAGAATTAGTATATATAACAAACTTACAAATTAAAAACTTTAACATAATAGCATGGCTCGAAAAATGGTCCAAAGCCCTCAAACCAACACAAAAACCATTAGAATATTTTCTTGATGAATTTTGTATGTGATTGGTATTTATGTGTCTACTCAAAAAGATTAGCCTTTTACATTAGACTATCCATTAATTTCTTATTAAACATATTATATAAGTTATAAAACCTTTGAATTGTTAATCATTATTAAGAGACTTTTGAGTGGTATTCATTCAAATAAGAGGTTTCAAATAAATATGGTTTGAGTAAAATGCATCATGAGAGTTTCAAATGAATGTGGTGAAATGAAATATGCTTCCTTTATAAGTATATATATATATATATATATATATATATATATATATATATATATATATATATATGAATCAACAGTCATATTAGTTGCTGATTTGGAGTTAGAGGTAAGAATTTGGCCCGGAAACCTGAATCGAACCGAATGAGGCTCGAAGAAGAAATTTGATTTGGTTCCTTGTTTATTCGATCCGGCTTACCCAAATAAGTGCTTATTCGGTTCTAAAAATCAGGCCCGAAACTGAAAAGTCGTTTTTTTAATCATATTTTTCTTGCTACGCAAAATGACCTACATTCAATCGATTTGATCGTGTTTTTCCTTGTCCCTCCTTCTGTGATCAAGTTGTACATTCAAAACAGAAACCAAAACCATATTGCTTTGTATTACCAAAGTCGACTTCCTACTTAAGCATTCCTATTCATAAATTGAGTGTCAAAAAAAGATTTTTAATCGTATTACCGAAGTCGACTTCCTACTCAAGCATTATTTTTAATTAAGAAATTTATTTCATTAAAAGATTTGTTATGGAATCATAAGCTGCAAATATCATAAAAACAATACAATGTTTATAATCATATTGTAAATTTTATTTGAGTTATAGAATCCTAATACGGTTTATTCGGTTATATTAGGTACTTAATCATTTTTTACATGTTATTCGGGCATTCAAATAATAACTGAACCGAACCGATTAATACCCAAATCGAACCAAACTCGTATTGGTTATTTGGTTTGGTTTTTGGTTCATGCAGTTACCCTTATTCGGTTTTCGGGTTCGGGTCGTTTCGGTCCGGTTTCAACCCGAACTGTGACATTCCCTAATTTCTCGGCCAGAAAAGACCGATTTAATTTATGCTTTTTAAAATAAAATCAGAGAAATCTTTTTAAAAGATGTTGCGGAATTGGTCCCCAAAACAAAACATGATAAAAGTTTATCAAAACCTTTCTTTAAGAAATATATAGTTTCATTTCATATCAAAACCTCGGGATGTCATGTACCATACATATCAAAAGCATAAACAAGACATTATAAGCATTTCAACAGTTATTTACAACTACTGGCCTATAATCCAAAAATCTCTCATCGCCCTCCGGCTATGCTCGGGGTCCACTACCTGTAATCATAAAAAGCTGAGTGGGTCAGGATTGGGAGCCTGGTGAGCATATAGGGTTTTCAACCCACAATAATAATAACTTATTAAGTTCACCAATCAACAATAACCCTGATTACCCATTCCCGTTGTCCTCACTTTACGTCCTGAAACACCTAACACAAGGGACTTAGCCTAAGGAATATCATCGAGATGGACACTACTGCTGAGGGGACTCCTCACCCATACATGTCCTAAAGGCAACCATGAGGGGGATTGGAGTACGCCAATGAACATTTAGTTCATCAACACCTACAAGTTGCGAACTTGCTAGTGTACCACTGGACTGTCTAGAAAGGTCCGTGATCGTCATCTATACTCCGCTAGATGACTACAACGACAACACCAACAACAACACCGAGGCCTCTCATCATTTTAACACCCATCGACTACTTCGTCTACCCATGTTCTACCCAACATATTTGTAGATAAAATACATATACAGTTTAAAACTTGTATAAAACATCTATTCAACAGTCACCTCAAATAAACAATTAACATATTTACACATAGCACGTATTTTAAGCTAAATACTTCATATCTATGTGTAAAGTGAAAGTAACTACACACTCACATGATTTGATGATAATCGGGCAGCAATTCGTTTCCTAAAACGTTCGTTTCTAATAAAAGTGGGAGTTTTATTGAGAAATCGGGTTCTGCAAAAGTCGTGCTTCGAAACCGAAAAGAAAAAATTTTCGGGCTTCTCGGGCACTTCGTGGTATATTCTGGGGGTTATAATCGATACCGGGGATTTGGGGGATGTTAAAATGAAAGAAATATGGAAAGAGG